AATACGGTGGAACTCCGTCTTGTTGATAGTGAATAGATCAATCTATCTCATTTGGATGATTAATAGCAGAAAAAAATATTTTCCTGATGTAAGCACTAAAAAGTTAATCAAAAAATCTAGATAAACCTTACCATCAACTGTGCCCTCAAACAAATAAGAACCAATAATTTTGTTGTTAATGATACCAGCCCAAACATTAATTTTTTTAGTATATTGCGTGTAAGTCTCACATATCCAGTGAGGATTTTTTCTGCTACAATATCTATAGTTCTGTTTGTTAACCTTTTCATTTAAATGAAACGTCATCATCATCATCATCATCATCATTAGCCATTTTGCGTCCACTGCTGAACATAGGCCTCCCGTAAATAATTCCATTGCATCCGATCTTGAGCAACTTGAATCCAGTTAGACTGGATGCGCTTTAAATCGTCCGACCACCTTGTTGGAGGACGTCCTCGACTACGATAAGCATCGTGTCTAGGCCTCCACTCTAAAATTTTCTTTGTCCATCTTCCATCTCTGACCCTAGCAACATGTCCTGCCCAGTTCCATTTCAGGGTTGTAATTCTTTCAACTGCGTCCGTCACACCAGTTTTTCTCCTTACTATCTGACTCGAAACTCTGTCCCTGAGTGATACGCCCAACATTGACCTCTCCATCGCTCTCTGTGCCACTTGTATCTTATTAATTACTTTTCTGGTAAGTGTCAATGTTTCTGCTCCATATGTCAGAACTGGAAGTACACACTGATCAAAAACTTTTCTCTTCAAGCACATGGGAATAGCTGATTTAAAGACTTCCCTCAGTTTTCCGTAAGCTGCCCATGCCAGTCCTATTCTCCTTTTTAACTCTGTTGTTTGATTGTCTCTTCCCAATTTAATCTCGTGGCCCAGATACTTATAGGAATACACTTGTTCAATTTGCGTGCCATTAGTGGAAATGTTTTTTGCCAGTACCAGGTTGGTCATGTATTGTGTTTTGGAAAAATTAATTTTAAGGCCAACTCGTGCACAAGAGCTCTGAAGGTCTTGAAGAAGTTGGCATGCATGATCTACCTGATCTGCAATAAGGACTATGTCGTCTGCAAACCTCAAGTTGTTCAAAAATTCCCCATTTATATTTAATCCAATATTTTCCCAATTATTTTTTCTCATAGCACTCTGTAATAGGGCGGTGAATAGTTTAGGAGAGATAGTGTCTCCTTGCCTAATACCTTTCTCCAAGGGAAATGTGTCTGTGTCACCATAGTACATTTTTACAGCAGCTGTTGCGCTATCATATATATTTCGAAGAAGAGTTGTGTACCTATGGTCAATACTGCACTCTGTAAGAGCTCTTAACATGGAGCTATGCTGGACTGAGTCAAATGCTTTCTCAAAGTCTACAAATATTAATATCAATGGCTTGTTGTATTCTATAACTTTCTCTATCAAGGATTTTATTACTTGTAGGTGGTCATTTGTTCCAAAGCCACTCCTAAATCCGGCCTGCTCTAGAGGTTGATGAAAATCTAGCTTAGGTCCCAGTCTGTTAGTAATTATTCTCATAAAGAGTTTATATAAATGAGATAATAAGTTGATAGGTCTGTATTTGCCAATTTCTGTTACATCTCCTTTTTTATGCAATATTATCATAATGGCATTATTCCATTTTTCTGGCGTATTTCCTTCAAAGAGGCAGGCATTATAAAGGGTTTTTAAAGCCTTTATGACGCATTCGCCTCCTAGTTTTATCATTTCACTTACAATGCCATCTTCTCCAGGTGTTTTGTTGTTCTTCATACCTTTTAATGCTGACTTAATTTCCTCTTCGGTTATATCTGGAAGTTCCTCTGACCCTTGATTTAGTATTGCTGGAATTTCTACTTCGGGAATGTGATCATCTCGACTATATAATGTTCTATAGTACTCTTCGATGATTTTTAGTATCTCTTGTTGTTCATGTATGACATGTCCTTGATTATTTTTTAACTTATAAATATTCCTCGTTCCTGTTTTCAACTTTCGTTTTAGAACTTTTAGGCTTTTGTTTTGTTCTACGGTATCAGTTATTTCCTTAGTGTTAAAGTTCCTTATGTCTTTCCTAATGGCTTTTGAAATGGTTTTGTTTAAATTCCTTAGCTCTGCAATGTTCGTTGTATGCTTTTCTTTCATTTCCCTTCTTTTTTGCATTAGGTTTCTTGTGTCTTCTGTGAGTTTTTCATTTTTTGTTGATTGCTTGGCTTGGCACTTCTTCTGTGACTTCTTCAGGGCTTCTACCAATTTTTCGTTAAGCTGTTCAATACTGGTTTCATCTTGCAGGTCTTTCTGTAGATTACTCTCTATTTCTTCCTGGTATGCCCTGGTGTTAGTAATCGCAGTGAATGTAACATTATTAGTCCTTGTTACCATATGTCTTCTTTCCTTCTGTATATTTAAGACTATCTTCGCCCTAACCATTCTATGGTCACTTCCAGTTGAAAATTGATTTAATACAGTTACGTCTTGAACAGCGTCTTTTTTGTTAGTAAATATAAAATCAATTTCGTTCTTGTTTAAACCATTTGGTGATTGCCAAGTCCACTTTCTTTGGTCGCTTTTTTTAAAGTGCGTATTCATGACATATAGCCTGTGTTGCAGAAGAAATTCTATGAGAGTTTGACCCCTTTCGTTTCTATCGCCATATCCGTGAGGTCCAATTACAAACTCCGAATCATCTTGCTTGTGGCCTATTTTGGCGTTTAGGTCTCCCATCAGTATAGTAAAGTTGGTGTTTGTCTCTTGTATGGCAGTGTTAACGTCATCGTAGAACCATTCTACTTCTTCATCTGTATGGGTACTTGTAGGTGCATATACCTGGATGATCTTTAACCGAATTTTTTCGTTTACTTTGTAGATAAGATATATAACTCTATCACTTATGCTTTTAATTGTGAGTATATTCTTTGTGTGTTTTTTATTTACTATAAATCCTACGCCACCATTGGAAGACTCTCCTCGATAATGCAATAGGTTTCCCGACGGAAGTACCATTTGTTCTTCACCCTTTCGCCGTACTTCGGACAATCCAAGTATATCCCATTTTATATGATTCAGCTCGTTTTCCAGTTCAACTAGTTTTTCGTCCTCCATCAATGTTCTTGTGTTGTATGTTGCCATAAACCATATTCTTTGCCGTTGTCGTTTATGAAGGTAGCCTGGTTGACTCCGGTGATTCTTAGCACCCTCTGTCCCTCTAACTACAAGACTGCTACCATAGCCTGTTTTCAAGGGACTGCCGGAGACTGAGGGCCTTGCATTTTCTTCCTTTCTCATTTTACGGGGTTCCTGGCCGTTTCTCTACCACGCTGGCCTGTGCGGGTTGGTAGAAGGATTGTAGGATGGGCTAGGGAATTTGGCGTCATCGACAAGGATGATAGGTTGGGACGTGGTACCCTCTCGGTTAAAGAGATTGAGAGTGAGCCACGGCTCGCATAGGCAGGGTCGCAATCCTGAAGTAGACCTAACTTTACCGGGATCGTAAAATGTATCTACCTGCTACCTTGAAAGCGAAATGAAACGTCGCTTAATCAGAAACAACTATTTTGTTTATGAACTGCAAATCTGCGTTTATTCTGTACATCATCATTTTATAAAATTCTTGCCTTCTATCAGGATTTTTAACTCCTGGACTAACTGAACTTTGTAGGGGTGGTATTTTTCTTTATGCAAAACTCTCAAAATAGATGATTTACTTAGGTACATCATTGACGGCGGCAAGTTGTTTTATGCGGTTTTCCTCAATCTCTAGAAGTACATCTAACTTTTTTTCATCAGTAAATTTAAGATTTCTATCTGGTTTTTTAACATTCTTTACGTCACCAGTATAACGAAACTTCTTTTCAATTTTGCTAACTGTAGACTGCGAAACTTGTTGACCAGGGCATTTATTATTAAACATTGCACAAACCTCCTTTTGAGTTCTTGTTTTATTACCACAACCAATCATAATTAAACTGTCTATTGTTTAAGACTCGGACAAATGAGCCGTAATACAATTTAATACGCGCACAAATGCTATACTGACATCTTTTAGTAACTTTAAACACCTAAATAACAGCAGCCTACCAGATTCATATCAATATCTTCAGTGTTTCTTCCCTAATGTTTATCAAAACAGATACGAAAATACCTGATTATTTCTAAAGTATATTTTAATAGACCAGGCAATATTGCTGATTTAAAAATTAGTATAACGGAAGAAATTAACAAAATATCCCTCGAGGTCATACAAAATGTACGAGAATTCCAAAGTCGCCTCGGTTATTGTCAAGAAATGAATAATGGTGGACAAGTTGAACATTTAGTTCAATTTTAAAAATTAATTTTCTCAGTTATGATTGCACAAACTAAAAAAATTTTATATTGCTGAACAGAGGACTCAAATCCCTTTCTAACAAGGTGCCACATGACCCCTTTTTTAATTTAAAATTTTCGAGGGGGTGCTTATAATTCAAAGGGGGTGCTAGATATGGATAATATTTTCATACTGTTAATTGTCAATTTAAGAACAAAAATCGACCTGTTTCAGGTTTTTTCACATAGTACATAATAATGCTAAACATGAATTTATTCCATACATATGGACCGCATGGTATATTCATGTATTGTGTTAATTTAAAAGAAAGTCTCTTTTCACACGGAGTTTGACTATTTAACAGCGGCACATTTGAAGTGCAAATCAAGTTACATTCAAAAACAATAATATATAGAACTAAATAAATAAAAAAGACCTAAATAAAATTTTTGGCAAATGTAAATTCTCATGTTTATTTCAATCTCATAGAATAAAAATTTATCATATACATCCCGATAAAATCCACTTATTCAAACTAGATACATATTATGTACAAATGAATACGAGTTTTACAATAACCCACATTCTTTTATTACCTCGTCAAACCATGAACATGAATCGCTATCAAAACAAGCGACAGAAATACACACGCACTTTTTAAAACATATAAAAACAGCACTTACTTTATATTTGGATTGCACCTCTCTGATGAATCCGTACCTAAAACAAACAAATCGTGACTTGTATTTCATCAGAGCATTCCAATGAAAGATTTTATGTCAACAAATAAAACGGTGGTTTTGTGGAAAACTGATGTGGGAGTTTAATCTTTGGATGGTCGTTACAGATTTATTTAGATATTTGCCAGGGAGACATAAGTTAAAAATGGTTACTTTCTGGTATAAAATAAAAACTGAATATTATTATTTTGGTAACGTTATATCAATATTAAATTTTTACATAAATCAATTAGTTAAAACACTTTAGATTTCATAAAAATGGACATTAAATTATAAGGTAGAGGTAATGGATTTTCTAAAGATCTATGACGTTGTAAATAGATGCGTAGATCTAACTGGCAGCCATGCACTGGAAGGTGTAAGTAAAAACTGAAAAAGTTTTACATATTTGTGGTTCCGTATGATAGCCCAGGCGAAGTGGGTTAAAAATAACATAAAAATTTATTTAATTGCAAAATATAATTTAAACAATGGGATATTTGATTGAATAAGATTTAATTTGTGATCATACATCAAATATTAAATTATAAATTTAATATACCTGTCTATACTTCAGTCGTCAGAAACGAAAATGCCACTGAACCTCTAAAATCATACGAAGAAGCTGAATTTTGCCAAGGATATTAAATATGGAATCCCAAAAAAGATGCAAAAAAGTTTACCGCTTTTACCCCTGAGCTTCCCCATAAACCCCCTCCCACAGGGGGTAAAAAACGCAAAAAAATCGATTTACCAAGAATCTGTACATCGTAGAAAAAAGTGTTTCAAATAAAAACTGTAGCTGAAATAATTTTAAACAAAAAAAAACTTGGAAAAACTATTCTGCTCTATATAAAGGGTACGACAGACAAAATCAGCAGAGTGCTAAGAAAAAACAAAATAGAGACTATTTTTCTATTTTTAACAGCGACAGAAAAATCGAAACCACATTACCATCGGCAAAAACAAAAGTTGCATTGGAACATCAAGGTGTATACCGAATTCCGTGTGAGGACTGCGATAAATCGTTCATCGGACAGACAAATTGAAGGATACAAGTTAGACGTGATGAACATTCAAACGCCATCGAAAGAAAAGAAAAGACTTCATCTCTAGCACACCATGCCATAAACACAGGATACAAAATAAACTTAAATGGAACAACAATGCTAGCCAACATCGAAAATAAGGCTAAACGTGTAATCAGGAAAGCCATACAGATCGAAAAGCATCCAAAAAATTTAAATACCAGTGATGATGCCCAAAGACTCCAATATACGTAGAAACCAATTCTACAGAAAAACGTAGAAATTAAAATAGCGAAGAAGACTTCGCCCACTCTGCGCACAGGATCAATCACAAGAAGCGCTAAAAGCTATTTAAACAGAGCGTGCAGGGACTGAAAAATACTTACCAGCGAGAGCCATAGTATATTTAACAGACATCATTAATGCAATTCTAAGATTTAAGAAATTCCTAAACAACCAGAAGAACAGGTAACTGCGCAAGATAATCCCATCGAGTGGAAAAGCGAAGCAAAATACCTCGGAATAATCATGGATAAAGGTCTAACATTAAACAAATACGTAGAAGCCACTATACAAAAAGCCAACATGGCGAGATCAGCTATAAGATGCCTAGCAGAAAGGAAAAGCAAACTTCTACTTAAAACAAAAATAAGACTAATAAATAGTATAGTCCTTCCTATACTAACATATGCGTCCATCGCATGGGGACACATATTCAACACTACAAAAAAGAAAATACAAGAGGCACACAACAAAAGCCTAAAGTCAACGTACGAAATACGAAACGGAAAGATTCCTCAGAGTGACTGTACACAGGAACTGCAACAAATCAGAGTGACTGATACAATGAAAGAAAAAGCTAGGATGTGGTTCGCGGAGTTAGAGAACCACCCCAGTCACATACTAAGAGAGATAATGAGTTATGACACTGCTATGAGGTATTTGCATCCATGAATGGAAGCAAAAAGACCTAAACAACAAATAGTAGACTAAAACAAAATACCAGAGAGAAATTTAAAAATCAGTCCAGAGAGACAACAAAACCTCAGAGAGACAAAAATTCCAAAAACGGCAACAAAGCACAATGAAGACAGTTCATAGCTCAAAAATATCCAGGACTATCGCCAAATACAAAGTGGGCCCAGTTGCGTTAAAGAGGACAAACTCTATATTATCATATTGTTTTATATTTTATATATTTTTCAGTATTATAGTATATATTGTACAATAATTCTGATTTTTTGTTTCAGGGCCATCTACAAAAAAAATCTACAAAAAACCGGTCACCAAAAAATTTATAAAATACTAACAAAAACCGGCGAAAGCCACCAAAAAAAAACAAAAAACCCAAAACCCGGCACGTAGGGCCCAACCCCTTGAGCACCAAGTCGCCGAACTGAGCCGGGGCTCGGAGCGGAGACTTGAGGCCCAAGTAAACAATTTTAGTTCGTGGATAAGCCGCTTTAGCGACAGGAATATAGCGACAATGCGCTGTCCTTAGTTTTGAATTTGGTTAGGAAACCATGTTGGGGTTCTATTACCCAGGACCTCCACATGAAGAGCTTTTGGCTGATAGTTGTGCCTCTATAGCGCATCAGAGTGCTATATGAGGGAAATCCATAATCGATAATAGATCTAATATATCATCTGAGGAAAACAACAAAGTTTCTACATCTGTTTTCCATAATGATTTTGTAATTGATTTAAGGATATGTAGACCCTGCTTACATAATATATCCAACATAAACTCAACGTGAAGTTTCCAAGTTAGCTAGCGATCGAGAATCATTCCCAAATATTTAATTGAAGAACTAAAATTGTATTCAAACATATCTAGTTTGATCTTATTTAGTTTTGGAATATTGTGTCGAGTGAAAATAATAATACTTGTTTTACTTAGCGCAATTTTAAACTGATTTTGGTTTAACTGATTTTTGGAGCTTTTTGGTAGACGAATAAATAAGAAAATCATCAGCATATTGTATTATTTTAAAACCTTACAAGTGTAGACCTATTTTAATTATTTAAGAAGGATTTCCTATTAGGATTCTGGATAAATTTTATTTTTAAAAGCGACGTAGGGTACAGTTCAAAGTTCATCGAGTTCATGTAGAGTAAATTAGAAAACAGTTTAAGTTTTGTCGGAGGCAGACTACAAAACATGGTATAAGGTTGAGTATGCGAACAAAACGTGTTTATCGACATTATTTTCCCATGAAGTTTTAAATATAGTTTTCGGTAAGTTTAGTAGAGTTTTTTTTGTATTTTAGCTTTGGTGCCACGTAATTCATTCAGGATTGTATTCAGATTTATTATTGGTTTATGTAGAGTGTTGACCAAATTTATGTCATAATTATTAACTGTTGATATCTTTCCCTGGATTTGGTCTTAGAACCTAAATATCCTTACTTATCTCTTTTCATTTCTAGGGTTTCTTAATTTTCCCCTTTAACCCCAAAAAGTTAAGTGGCGCCCTGTTTCTATCTTATCTTATCTTTGGTAATTTCACCCATCTATATTTTTGTTTACTTAGGTATGTTTTACTTGGGACAAAAGGTTTTGTTTACTTAGGACAAAAAATAATCCTAAATAGGGAAATTCAGACTGAAGAAATAAAAAGAAGAAGAAAGTTAGCTTGGGCAGCATTCGGTAAACTGAACTAAATACTCAGAAATCAACAAATTCAATTACATCTTAGATCTAAAGTTTTTGATGCATGCATTATTCCGATATTAACTTATGCGGCACAAACATGGATCATCACAAAAAAGAATATGAATATACTTAGAGTCACTCAACACGCGATGGAAAGAGCAATGCTAGGTATATCACTTAAGGACAAGAAAACAAACACATGGATAAGACAGAAAACCAAAGTCACCGATGTGGTTCAAAAAGCATTAAAGCTGAAATGGGAATACGCTGGACATGTAGCTAGGAGCAATCTAAACAAATGGCACAGATCAATTTTAACCTGGAGACCATACCAACACAAAAGACCCAGAGGCAGACCTCCTATGAGATGGACAGATGATCTGAAAAGGACTGCCGGGAAAAATTGGCTACAAGTAGCGTACAATAAAAACCAATGGAAAGGAAGACTTAAAGAGGCTTATGTTCAGATGTGGACGTGAATGGCTAGACGAAGAAGAAGAAGAAGAAGGTATGTTTTCTAATATATCATATCCTGTCCTATCTCTACATATTTCATCCGTTTGACTCATTCCCGGTTCCAAAAGCTAGTTTCGAACCCACGACTCTCTCGAACCCATGACTCGCTCTCCATCAACCATCTGGCTGCCGTCCGCAGTGTCTCCATTGGTGACCTTTCTAGCACCATCCAAAAAAGATTTCCGAGGTTAATACTACAGGAAGGCATCTTAGTTAACGGAGTGTGTCTAAACAACATTAGATATGCTGACGACGCAGTAGTTTTTGTAGATAGCCTAGATGGTTAACAACCAATAATATCGCGCATATCAGATATAAGTCGAGAGTATGGGCTGGATCTCAATACGACCATAATAAAGTACATGGTGGTTAGTATGCACGAAATATAAAATACACACATTTTGGAAAACCAAGAGCCAATTGACAGGGTAAACAGCTACACATATGTTGGTACTAACATAAACAGTCAATGAGACTACTGAAATAAAACAAAGCATAAGGAAAGCAAGATCAGCGTTTGTAAAGATGAAGTCTCTTTAGGAAGATGAAGGTCTTTCGGAAGTCACGATTTACCAAAGTAAAAGTCTAAGTCACTCTAAAAGTTTAAGTCACTCAGTACCAAAGTCTCTATCATCAGATGCTGTTTATTTTCTATATTATTATACAGAGTAGAGGCATGGATGCTCTATGAAACTTCTTTAGAAAAGCTCGAGGCCTTCGAGATGTGTTACAGACGCATCTTATAAATTTCATGGGTGGATCATGTGACTAATATTGATTTCCTTCATAGAATGGGCAAGGAATACGAGGTCACTAACACAATCACAGAGCGCAAATTAGAATATCTTGTCCCATGTTATGACAAATTAACACAGATATGGCTTATTGCAGCTCATTTTTCAGGGCAAGATATTTGGAAAGAGAGGATAGGGAGAAGGAGAATATCTTAGCTTCAAAACCTAAGACATTGGTTCAATACTTCTACAACCGGACTAATTCGAATTGCTGCAAGTAAACTTAGGATAGCTATGCTGATCGCCAATATCCGGAACGGATAAGTACCGTAAAAAGAAGAAGAAGACTACTTTTCTAGTGAAATAGAGTGCCCCACTCTGTCTGTGTATATCTACGTTTACAAGATTTCATCACATCTGCAAGAACATACTTTTTTAATAAAAGCTTCTTCGCAGAAGCCCTTGTTAAAATTTTAAACGAGTCTCTACCGAAAAATTATGCAAAGTTTAAAAACTATTTTGTTTAGTTTAGAACTCCACTTTGTGTGTTTGTTGTAAACTTCTATTTTATTTCCTACATTGCACATCATACGTTTTGTTTTGTGTTTCACTTTTCAGTTATAAACTTTAACTTCGCGATTTCGCTCACTCGGTAACTTCGCACCGCTCTCAACACTAAGTACGTGAAGTTGATGTAATAGAGGTAATTAAAATACCGTATTTACCGCTAGAATGCTAGCGATAGTTTCGAAATACCTTGTCATAGTTTCAAACTGAAGTTGAAGGAGTTACGAGTTAATTAAAAGGACCAGAAGAACTAATATGCAGAGGGATGTAACAGTGAATTGTATTGTATTCGGTAAGATATTACACGACGGAGTGCATATAAATAATATTAGATATACTGACAACGTAGTAGTTTAGTGTTTTAGTAGAAGACAGTTTAGTTTTAGAGAGTTTACAAAAAAAAAATTGTCAAGCATGTATTAGCAATGTGTTTAGATTAGGTATATCTCAATATAAAAAAAAAACAAAGTACACGGTAGTCATGAAAATAAACTAAATATATAGCTTTTGGCTCACCAACAGTCGATTAACAGGGTCGATAGCTACACATATCGTGATAATAACTGAAAGAGCCAATGGAACCACTCCATCGAAAAAAATAACAACATATTAGAAAAGTTATTTCAGCGAACATCTAAATATAAACGATATTGAAAAATATTCTTCTTTATGTGCCGTCTTTCACCGAATGTTGGCGACCATCATACGATAGGTTTCTCTGTTTTGTGCCGCGTGAATTATGTTCGCAGCTTCTGGTATTTGAAACCATTCTCTCAAGTTTCTCAGCCAGGATTTCTTCTTTCTGCCCAAACCTCTTCTACCTTCAATCTTGCCTTCCACGATAAGCTGTAGCAGACTGTACTTATCATTACGGAACACATGGCCCAGGTATGACGCTTTCCTCCTTTTAACAGTTGTTAACAATTCCACCTCTTTACCCATTCGTCTTAATACCTCTGTGTTGGTCACTCTGTCTGTCCAAGGTATTCTCAGTATGCGTCGATACAGCCACATTTCTAGACATTTCTGAAGGAGATTACAACATAGAAAATCAACAAAATCTACGTCAACTACACAGTGAAGACCCAACAAGAGAAGAAGTGTCAAATGCTATCCTAACTAGTGGTGATCAACTTTTTGCAGCAATTCATAAACTAATAGTACTTATAGGGCAGAATGAATTGGTACCAGAAGAGTGGCTAAAGGGAATAATATGTCCGTTGTATAAAAATGATGATCAACTGAAGTGTAAGACCTATAGAGGCATTACTCTGTTAGCATCTGCGTATAAAATCTTCGGAAATGTATTGTTTAAAAGAATTAAAACATTTTACAAAGCCTATTGTTGGTCAATATCAATATCAATCAAATATACATCAAATTCAAGCACATAAGCAGATTCTAGAACAGTCACTAGAATATAACATAGATAGACACCATCTATTCGTCGACTTTAAAGCAGCCTAGGACAGTGTTAAAAGAACTGCATTATATAATACAATGATAGACTTTGGGATCTCACCTAAGTTAAGTTGACCCAACTAACAATGCAAAACGTAAGCTCATGCATTAGAATTGAAAGAAAAAACTTTACGTTTTTTTAAATTAATAATGGTCCAAGACAGAGGAACGCGCTGGCGTGTCTCCTCTTTAATATTGTTTTGGAAAAGGCAGTCAGACAATTAAATATTAGAATGAATGAGATTATTTTTAATAAATCGAACCAAATTAAGTAGCAGTATTAATCTTGGGAATTGCTATTAACCAAGGTGGAGACGTTAGGAAATTTGTTGGAAGAATTTCAGGAAATTCAAGATAAAGGTTATGAAGGTTTCTTCTGAACGCTGAAGGTTATAAAAGCTGTGTTTTGAACAGTTTCCAAGGTTTTAAATATTGATACTTTGCTTGAGGAATAAACTGTCAAATCATAGTCGAGTTTGAATCTAATTAAAGATTTAAATACATGTAATAGTTTATTTTAATCTGCTCCCCAGTTTTTGTTGGAAATAGTTTTCATAAAATTTAATCCTGCTTGGCATGATTTTTTAAGTTCTTCTGTATTTTTTTTTCAGGAGAGCTTTTGGTTGAAAGCCATACCTAAAAATCTGATATTATTTGTGAAACTGAGGGTTTGTTTATATAGCTTCAGATGTGGATTTTTGAAATGAAGCGCGTACGGTTCCGATATCTCAGTCTATCGCCAAATTACCATACACCTACCACTGTGCTGACATGAGCGGCATAACTGCGCGCCGTAAGACTAAGTGCACACCTACATTGGAACCGTATTTCTCCCGATCCGATATCGGGCGACGTCGGCCGACGTCGGATTGAAAACAAACTCAAGGTATTAAATCATAGTGCCTATACTGCTTCGTCATGGAAGCAGTATAGGCACTATGATTTAATACCTTGAGTTTGTTTTCAATCCGACGTCGGCCGACGTCGCCCGATATCGGATCGGGAGAAATACGGTTCCAATGTAGGTGTACACTTACACTGCATTCTAAGTGTGGCTTCTACTCTAGTATTGATATAAGCTCCATAGAGAACTTGCGTATGTTTGATCGCGTATTTAAAGTAGTCCAGTTACACTAGAGATCATTTAGCAGATCTGTTTTTCCAAGGATGGAAAAATGTAGGGTTATCACTAGAGATGATCACTATGAATATTTTTAGTGAAAATATATGCATATTAATAATTTAATGTATGAGTAATTTATATTTTTTTATCTTCTTTAGTACCAATCTATGTATTATTTGTTTTTACTTACCTCTGGTTCATTATTATATCTTCGTGGTTACCCCTGTTGAGATATACAGCCCCAGGGATTGCCAGCAAACATAGAAGAAGAATAAGAAAAACTTCTAGGCCTCGTTTTCCTCGATCTACAAAATCGCCATTAAAAATGTATGGATTGTCGGCGGAAGGAAGACCATTCTGTAACAAAATTAGAGAATATTTAGCTGGTAAAAATTTCTACGTAATGTATTTTTTTTATTAACAACATTGACTGAAAAAAATTGATCGCAGAAAAATTATTGTATTCAATGTAAGCAACAGATTTATCTATACAGTCCTCTCTCTCTATAACGATATGCAAGGGACCGGGAAATTTCATCGTTATGAGGAGATATTGTTATTCAGAGAGAAACAAAATTCCGTACTGTAATATTAACAATCATGTACTAAATAACCTATTTTAATTTAATTAAATTATCAAAACGAATATAAATGAATTAACACTGTATTGTAGACCACATAGATTTATTAAAGAGTAATATAAGTAATACAGTATAAAAAAATCATAGTATAAATATGTGTACTCTACAATATCAAAATAATATAATACTGTAATATATTTAGCCTACATTACCAAAAAAGTCTGTCACCTTGGTCTGTTTCCTTTTCTCTTTCCACGAATGCAGAATGATGAAGAATCGATGCAGTACTTTTGCCTCAACCAATGCCTGCTTAGGGATTGGATCTGGTTCTGGTTCTGCTTCCACTTCCTTCTACACGACCTGCTTGTAGGATATCCTCGTCAGAAAGTCCAGATATTGTAGCTAAATTTTTATCAACTTCTCTTTCATCAAATCTGTTAGCGCTTCTGGTCCGTAGGTAATAGTAAGTTTAAACTGTCTGGCCCAAACATCTAATAATAGGTCATCTTTATCATCAGTCAAACCTTGATTTTCCAGCCATCCTGCGTGTTTGAAGGAATGTTTTATTTTATTGCTCGTCACCTTGTCCCAGGATTCACTAATTAATATGATGCCGTCAAGAAAGTTTAGTTTTAGAGCTCCATTGTTCTCATCCAATTCCATCAAAAGTCTTCTCCTGTAATGGCTCTTCAAACTTTTGATGACACTTTGATCCGTGGGCTGAGGGAGACTCGTTGTGTTTGCTGGCAGAAAACAAAGTTCAATATTTTGAAGGTCGCACAGTACAGGATGGGGAGGACACTTGTCTACAAGCAGAAGATTTTTTTCCTTTTAAGCTCCATATCCCATTTTCTTATCGCTTTTTCAAAAATATTCGAAGTCATTCACGCACTCTTTTTAAAGCAACGTTTGTTTTTCGACTTCCCTATCACTAATAATTTTCTCTTCACCGAACCTCTCATGTTAGCCGCCACTTAAACCGTAACGCGTTTCTTAGAGAGCTTTCCAAAAACGCACTTTTCCGATTTGAATTTTAAAGTTCTGTTTGGTGTCATTTTAAAAACAAGCCAGTCTCATGAGCATTGAAAATATCGTCTGACGCATATCGTGCCTTCAGTCCAGGCCACACGTTTTGTAGATAATCATCCATCCGTTACGTTTTTGTTAACATCACTAACCTCTACGCTTATTTTCCCGTAGTTAATCTTGTGCCGCAGCTTCCACTTGCTCAGATGCCTTGAAATTCTCAATTCCAAGCTTAGGTGCAAAAAACTCAGCTTTTGTCCTGACCACAGGTCCAGAAAGTGGAATATGGTTCATACGCTGCTGCTGGAACTACTGAAGCGTAGCGCGATCTAAACCTTCGAGCTGAGATTTTCACCTTTATCTATTGCTCGAGTTATCGATAACTTTTCCTCCAGTGAGAGTCGAAAACATGTTGACTGTTGACACATTAAGGCACAACTAAAACTGGAAATGAAAATTCGTCAATAGATGACAACATCTGTGTGATATATCAGTTAAGCACGCCACCCGAACATTAAAAGCGAGTCACTTAAGCCTCTGATAAGAATGAGTAGAATGGGTGGCCGCATTCCTTAAGCGCAAAACTTTGTCACTAATGACTCAGGTAGTCTCAACTTTAAACATGATAACACGTTTGTCATCGACTATTGAACGCTGAAAAGTTATCACTATAAAGAAACAACGGTATCGGTATAGAGAAAGAATTAATTCATTGTCCTTATAACGAACCAACCAACGTTTACTATTTTCATCGTTATAGAGGAATTGTCGTTATATAGGGAATCATTATAAAGAGAGACTACTGTATTACTGATACGACAATTCCTTTACACTCTAGCCGTCCTGGGTGTCTAGTTAGCTTCGTTAACTTTTCCGGAAAAATGGAAAGAAGTTTAAAAGTCTTCTCTTTCCTATTTTTTGTAGAAGTTACTATTAATTTCTAATTTATGGAAGTGTCTGTATTTAGTCATCATTTCCAAAGGTGACTTTGTTAGATTAGTTAGTGATGAATTAAATTATTGGATATGCTAAAACTTATTCAACATACCATGGATTGTGTACTGGTGGATTACTATTTACAAGGTTGTTAGATGATCAAACTAATAATATAATAAAAGTTTTGGATACTGTTTACTCAGATTTTTCAAAACTTTCGACTAGTTGGATCATCAAACATTCTATTACACAATTGCGAAAAAATTTAGTTTTTTAGATCTATATCATGTAGTGCCACGGTTATAACCGCATTTTTAGCTAACTTACATCACATTAAAATGATCCTATTAATTATTACATTTAACAATAATAACTTATCATCATGAAAATCATTTTTAAACACGTAAAAACCACCTACAATATCAAATTTTGCAAAAACATGAATTTGTATATCTTTAAATCGTTCAGTATTTATTACATTTTAAGTAAATTATAAGAAAAAAACCTTCTTAAACTCTTTAAATGATTCTTTAATATTACATAAACAATAATGTTATTAATGTATTTTTTAAATGACTTAATAAATATTTAAATTTTCATGCCTCAAAACTACACATAGACTTGGACAAATATGTAAATTTCATATTTTGCATATAATGCATAAAAAATGCAAAAATGTAAAATTTTGCATATTTTTATAAAAGTGAGCATAAAGTGCATATAATTTGAAAAGTTGGTGTTAACTATATATTTTTATATTCAAACGTACAGATAGCATGAAAATGCCAATATTTAATTTTGTTTTAAAATCACTTGGTATTCAAATTCTTGGTATAGTAACTAATAAAAGACAGCGGCTTATAGTTTTGTCATGTTTTGCCCTGGAATTAAGGGTTTGTGTTTGCAAGTTTATGTCCCTAGGTAAACATTTTTATTTTAACGCTCAGTTTCACTTGGTTTCACTTTTGTTGTAACATTGGAGGCGTAAACAACGTGTATTTCTAATTGTGAATAATTATTTTGCTTTGAAAATGTCGAAAATAAGCAATGTTTTAACTTGGATAAAACCTTACAAAGAGCTATCTAAGGATATGGATAAAGTTTATTGCTCATGTTGTGACAAAACCGTAAGTACATACGTATTATTTTTTATTTTATTTTAAAAATTTACACGTTGGTACAAACAAAGATTTTAAAAGTGGAGATTATGTTTAAGATTATCCCTCCAGATACTGACAGAGAATGTAGCGTAGAAGTAATTTTAAACTGTTTGTCCTCGTTTTAGTGTAGTGTTTTGTACAATTTATGTTATTTTTAATGTTTCCACATTCTACGCTTGCCGGATAGTTCACATTTTGACGAAATGCCCCTGAAGATGCTATTTTAAGCGAAAGTACTTGGGCTAGATTTAATTAACTTGTGCTCGATAATAGCATTATTTTCAAAGTTCATTTATTCGAGCATTCAACCTCATTTCATTTAATATTTATATGTTAAAATAATTGTATATATTGTATATATATATATATATATATATATATATATATTTTGCGTAAAATACTAAATATTTATGCGCATATTTCATACTTTTTTATTTGCGTATTTGCCTAAGTCTAGTTATGATTAAATTTATATAAAAAAGAAAGTGTCTCTGTACGCTATAGACGATAGTACATACATATACGTATAAGTAAGAGAAAAGTAAATGGAGATATAGCTAGACAAAACTAGATATATGAATCTTTGAGTGTAAATATTTGTATTTCTTAACGCTCCAAAATAGTTAAAATCTTAAATAATTTGGACGCTTTTAAAAATCGTTTAAAAACATGGATGGTCTGTTAATGATAGCTTTTTTGTTCAATTGCTGCAAAGCTTATTTACATGGAACTTTTATGGCTACTAAATGTGTAAAGATGAATATTGTTCTGAAGCTATTTTTTTGTTACATCTTAAAGTAATTACTATTTTAATTTAAATAAACCACAATTAAAATTTAAAATAAGTTTATTGACGTTTCAATTTTCACTTCAGAAATCGTTCTCAAAATACAAACATTAATAAATTAAACAAATTTTGTTTCTTTATATATATAAAATAAAGTTTTATTTTGAGGATGCACTCATTTAAGTAGGGCAGGATAAGTTAATCTCTTTGTTCTTAAATCAAGCTTTCGCAAAATTAATTTGCTTCATGATATGCTAAAATATGTTATGGTAAATACAATGAAATTAGAATTAAAAAACATTGTATAAAACTAATATAAAACCTTACAACATGAGGTTAAACCATTAAATTATTAAATTCACAAAACATTCTTAACTTATCTAAATTATATTTTTATGTAAGTACAATATTTTAATTTTGATAATATAATTTAGATAAGTTAAGAATGTTTTGTGAATTTAATAATTTAATGGTTTAACCTCATGTTGTAAGTTTTTATATTAGTTTTATACAATGTTTTTTAATTCTAATTTCATTGTATTTACCATAACATATTTTAGCATATCCTGATGAAGCAAATAAATTTTGCGAAAGCTTGATTTAAGAACAAAGAGTTTAACTTATGCCCTACTTAAATGACTGCATCCTCAAAATAAAACTTTATTTTACATAACGTGTCAGTCAATAATACCTAACTACTTTATATATATATATATATATATATATATATATAAATATATATATATATATATATATATATATATATATATCCCATTCATAGTATAATTCACCTTTGGGTTTCCGTTCGCCAAGCCTGTCTATTCTGCCAGTCCTCTTCAGATAGATTTATTGTTGACATTGCTTTCG